ATATCAAAGAACAATCACTCTTCTTTTATTCCCACATTGTGCAAATAACATGCACACCACTACTCCCTCACCTCACCAACTAATAGTTCCCCCAAGCCAAGCTTGGGACTAGTAACCAATGGGGCTCATATAGGCTTGGAATGTGGCTAAATAAACAATAAAAAGGGCACAAGCAACAACATGGGTAACAAGAAGGGAACAAATGTATCTAATATCGTCTGAAGGCTACCTAAGAGAAAAAAATACCTTCGTCCTCCTCAATGTGCATAATATTGAGCCATACAAACATTACTAATAGTTGCAAACCAATACTCAAATTTCTTGACATACCAGGAACTATCACACAATTCCTAACCAAATCAACTAGTCAAGCACTATATTCACAAATAGTTGGCAAAATTAACGCATGTTTAGGAATCCAAACAATTAAAATTCAAATCATGATCAACAAATTCACAAAGCTCATTATCATATACCAAGAATCAAAACAATATTTTCCAAGTATGGGACACAGGGAAGCATGATTTACAATTCATTGGAACGTATTTTTGATTTTTTTTTTTATTTTTCAATTTTTTTGTATTTTTTCATAAAGGAAAGCAATAGAAACTACACTAGAAAACAATAAAATCTATACAAGAAAAGCAATAAATGGATAAAAGAGAGAAAGAGTTACCATAAGTACAAGAAATCTCCCCCCAAGCCAAATCAAGCAATGCCTCATTGACTTGGGAGTGTAGTTAGGAGAAGCTACGCCTCGTCACCATCCTCATCCATCCTCTGGTAGCCTCCTCCATAGCTCGAGTCGGAACCTCCATGGCTCTTACCTGCACCACCATAGCCCGAACCACCTGCAAAGTAGTTAGGGTCTACACTCCCCCCATACCCCCAAAAGGAGCATCGCCCCCATAACCATGGACTGAAGAGTAGTCCACATAAGTACCAAAAGCTCCAGGGGTCGAATACCCTCCTTGGGGGTATTAGAACCAATCGAGAACTAATGCCTCGGGGGGAATAGCCCCTCGGCGTGCATAGTCGTCATACATAGGGTATAAACCCCTCCCGAGGTTCCTCTCTACATGACTTACCTTCCTATCTAAAGTGCCCAACCTAGAGTCTAGGTTTTTCACCATGCCCTCCACTCTCCCTTGCCCTCTCTCTATGCGGTCAAGTTGGCTCCTAAAAGCCGAAAAGTCATAAGGGGCATGGGGGTCGATATTATAATCGACGGAGGAGGTGGGCATGCCATAGGTGTAAGGTTGGGGTGGTGGTTGGTAATGTGGTGAATGGTGCTGGGGTGAATGGTAGGGTTGTGGTGAAAGGTGAGGCTCTTGAACCTTGCCTTGACCGTTTATCTCAAAAGTGTAAGAAGGCTTCTCCTTCTCAAATTTGGTCAAGGCGGGGTTGGGTAGTGTAAACGCTTGGTCTCTCCTACCCGATTCCCGGTGGACTATCCACCATGTCTCACCGTCCATAGGTTGCACCCAGTTTAGGCCCCCTAAGTATGCTAAGTCCATGAGAGTATAACCCTCCACTTTCCTATGCCCAGTCGGGTTCCATCCTAGGTGTTTCACAGCTATATGGGTCACCAACCCCCCAAAGTAGATAGGCGCCCTAGACTTACCCCCCTCGGCTGCATTGGTCGCCCTTTGAAAATGTTGGGCTATCCTATGTGGTATGTTTAGTTTCTCAGAGTTAGGAATCATATAGGAAGCCAACAATTCAAGTCCATCCCTCCTAACGTTTGCCGGTTCATGCCTCCCAAATATTGTGAGGCCGGCAAACCTTTGCCAAAACTTTGGGACGGGATGTTGAATCCACGTCCCTTTGGCATGTTGGAGGTTAAGCAAACCCTCCTCGGTGAGTGTTTTATAGACCACGACAATGTGGTCTTGGGAGGGTTCTATAGTTTTTTCCGATTTAAGCTCAAACAATTTACCAAATTCTTTTAAAGTTAATCGCACATCATTGTTTAGCAATCGCAATTGGACATGAGTGATTAAAGCATTAGTTTTAATAACATTGAAGCTAGAAATAAATTCTAATGTCAAATAATCATAGGTATCATAATGCATTTGGAAAAATCCACTCATTCCTATACCTTTAAACAATTTCTCTACAGGTTTATCAAGTCCTAGCCTAGGAAACGTAGGATGATGAACAAATCGAGTAGAGATTATCTGCCTCTGGATGAGGTTGAGCAACCTAGCTCGTTGTTCGCTAAAGGTTATGACAACTTCCTCCCATCCCGGTATTTGAAGCTCCGGGTCGACCATCGGTTGTTGTTGTTGCCTAGAACTTTCACCTCTTTGTTGTCTCGATCTCTTTGAAGCCATTTTAGGTGAGAAAATTAGGAATTGAAGCTTTCTCTCTCTAAGGGTTTTGAGAAATTTTGAAAGAAAGTGGTAGAAATTTAGTGAAGAATGTAGAGGAAGGTGTAAGGATTAAGAATAGGAAAATTTACAATTTGGTGTCCCAACGTTTTGGTAAATTCCACTTTGGTGACCCATGGTTTCAATATTCCCACTTTAGTGTCCAGTCATTAGATAATGGTTCAATATCAGTGCCTAATATTTAACGGTGTTAAATTCTCCGTTAACAAAAAAAAAGAAAAAAAACTTAAAGCTGTATAATTAATTAATTATATTAGGGTCTAGTTTTCCCCCAAAACCCATTTACCTCATCTCTCTCAAAATTTCCCTCTAACTTCTACGCCTTTAGGGTTCTACACTTCTACTCAACTCCATAATTCATCACAAACTAAGTATCTCCTCTAATCAAATAAAATCTGTCTCATTCATTGGTAAAGATAATGCCGAAATCGTAAAACTCAATCCAAGCAAAGTAGCAAACAAGCAATTGCGGTGCAAATGAAGGTAATATTTGTTAAATTATAAAATAAAGTAGATTTAAGGTTGGTATCTCTTAGTGGAATTTGTCATAATTTATAAATTACATACACAACTGTTGATATCATGAATTTGTTTGGGAACTTCAATTTGTGAGTTTAAAATTATAGTTATATGTGTACAGTAAACAAATTTAATGGTTTTGAAGTGATCGATATTAGTGGAAAATTCAAAGTAAAATGTAATCTACGGCATTAATATCAATGTTATCAGTTGATGTTTAATTTGTTTATGCATGATAACATGCTTGATTATTGAATATGATTGTATATTGTCTAGGATCATTATTTGTTTATTTAATACTCTGCTTTGTACATTGCAATAGCATAAACTTTTGTGTCGTTATTACGAGAAATGTATTATCATACAAGGAGTGGATCCCGATAAATATTCAGTTGTGGATTTGCTTATTGATGTTTGGATACAAGCAGCTAGCCAAATTGGGCATGATCCTAAGTCTCCAAAAGTTATTTTTAAACAAGGGATTGACAAGTTTTTGACAATAGATTGTGATAAAAATTTGATGATGGTGTTTAGCTTGTGTGAAAATAAAGAAGAAATTGATCTGATTATAGAGGAGAGTGAGTCATCTTCATTATATTTTGAAGGAGCAAGAAGGGCTTATGAGGAATGGAAAAAAAAAACAGGATAATGAGAAGATTGTTGAGGAGGTGTCGTGGCCTAAAAATGGTTATATGCATGAGGCGGAAGTTCCTGAGTAGAGCTACTATGGCCTACTGAACAAGAGCTTACATGGTTTGCTAAAGATACTGAGGTTGATAGTAGTGGGATTCAAAGTGAGCCTATGTCATTAGTAGTTGAAGATCATGTTCCCATCTTAGAAGCTCCAACTCTGATAGCCCCTAAAAAAAGGCATTGTATCGATATCAAAAAACTTGTACCAACCCACACATCTAATAAACACCATATTTTAAGTAAACAAAATAGAGGCAAAAGGTTGTTTAAGGATGATGGAAGTATAATTGTACGATCTCATAGCGATGTGGTTGATTTGGGCGGATATTCATCAGTTAGTACCGGGGATGAGTGGGATTCAGAGTGTGAGGATGAACCCCAATCTAGCGAGTATGAGGGAAATGAGGAAGATATACATTTAGATGATACGAGTGATGATGGTTGGGATGATGAGAAGTCTTATGTAAGTGATAGTGAAGGAGAAACAGATAATATTCCAAAGTTTATGAAGAATGGAAAGTGGTTTTCTTTCAAAGATGACAGTACCATAAAACTTGAAGTGGGCCAAATGTTTGAGAATAAGGCTAAGTTTCTAAGTGTACTTCAGTCTTATGCAATACAAGAGGGATTTTGTCTTGAAAAAAAAAAGAAGCACTAAGGTCAAATTTTGGGCCACTTGTAAGAAAATTGTTTCTGATTATGATCTTGAGGATAATAGAATAGGAAACAAGATTAAGGGTTCATGTCCATGGAGAGTATATGCAAGTTTATTGGTTGATGGTATTACATTCCAAATACAAACCTTTCGATCTGAGCACACTTCACTACAACAAATTCACCTTTGTACCACGAGTAAAATCGTGGCACAAGTTTAAAATTCTCGTGGCAATGTAGTGTAGCCACGGGAATTTTTAAATTTACTCTTGTGACACAAGAGGCCGTGGCTAGGAAATTTGCCACGGGAAAATGGATGTCGTGGCAAATTTCGAATTTTATGCCACGGGTATGTAACATGGCAAACAAATTCACTTGCCACGAATATTAATGTGGCTAACAAGTTTTTTGCCACAAATTCTACCGTGGCTAATAAACTTAGTTGCCACAAATATTACCGTGACCAGTAATCTTCTTCGCAACAAATATTACCGTGACCAGTAATCTTCTTTGCCACAAATATTACCGTGGCTAATAAACTTTGTCGCCGCAATATACTGTAGCTAATTATTTATTTGCCACAAATAATACCGTGGCAAATAAATCCATTGCCACATTACTATCGTGACAAATAATATCATTTTACACTAATGATTATCGTGGCTAATAATTTCAATGGGCATAAGCTTTAATTTGCTGCAGCATTTATGGTATACGCATAACTGAATATTAAAGATCGAGTTTTTCTCAAATATGTCATATTTGTCATTCTTGAAATCGATATATAACATTAAAAAGGTGATATTATGTCTTGGAATCCCATTCATTCAAACATACTTGAATTCGATATCCATACATACAAACATACTAGAAATCAATTGTCTCATTGTCTCATCACTAGCTCACTCTTACTAAAATAAATAAAAAATAAAACACTCAAATCGTTTTTCTGAAGAACAATATATACTCTATATATATGTACAATGTGACAATATGTCTGTGCTCCGCTCCTTGTTACCTATAATGAATAAATAGATAAATGATCAAGTTAATATTTTTTTCAAAAAGAGCACCAAAAAAAGGATATGTTTTCAAAATGAAAAAGTCAAATTGACACAAAATATAGAACAATTAACTTTAAGCTCATGAATTATAACAACTCGCACATGGCAAAATTCTTTAATGTCTAACTACTGCTGCTATAACAGGTGAATAATGTATAACAGGTGAATAATGTATAACTACTTTAAGCTCATAAACTTATATCTAAGATGAATCATGCATCAATGAATAATGTATAACAGGTGAAGATAGCATTACTTCATTCCTTTGAACCTTGACTTCCTAAATCATCAGAATCTGATGAACTTCCTGCTCCAAGAAAATCCAGAAGTTGACTAAACTTCTTCTCCCAAACTGCATTATTATCAGCAATTTTTCTGTCCACGTCATTCTTAACAACTTCCGCCTCTTTTTGGCTTGTTCAGCTTCTATTTTAGCCTGTTCTGCTTCTGTTCTAGCAGTTTCAACTTCTTTTCTTGCATCTTCAATTGCTTGATCTGCTTTCTTTATAACTTCATTCACCTCTTGAGTAAGATCAATTCGAGAGGGCTTTACTTTAAAATGTTGCGTTATACTTCTACCAGGTCCATGAGCTTTCAAATACCCATGTGTATCTTTGCCAAGCACATCCTGAATAATTTTCTCATCTGTTTTCTCATTAAGACCTTGCTCTCTTTGTTCCTTTAATTTGTTTATCTCATCCTATGAATAAACAATATTAAGTTAGAAGATAAGATGGTAAATGTTAAATAGAAAATAACAAACATAAAACTTATAAACTTACTACTGCATGAGTGTTATTTGCCAAATTGATTGCATTCACAGCCTTCTCAGATTTTCTTGTACGAGTTGCAACCAATACATCAACTCGAGAACACTTCCCGCCATTCTTCTTCTACAAACATTACAGAGTTTTTAGAATCAAATTACACTCCCAATTATTGTACGTTTGCATATTTTGAATAAGTACGAGAATTACTTCGTAAAATTTTTAGTGGTTTAGAAGCTAATGACATTTAGTTATGTCCAACATAATTTAAATTTCCATGTGTCAAGAATTCAGCTAATAAAAAAAAAATTCAGCTGGTGTGCAAGTTTTGTTGGATAATAAGGCCTACAGACCCTAAAGCCTACAAGCTACTGCTCCTTGATTTTACTATTGAAGAAAAAGTATGATTGTGTAGGTATAACGTCAAAGTGATACCTGACCCCTCTAGGATGTCATGATCATACGTACAAAGGAAGTAAAGGCTCCTACTGTACTCTGATCGACAAAATTAGTATGATCAAAGCGTTTTCCTACCAGTCAGCATAATATTGCGGAGCACAAAGTCTAGCTTCGCAGCAGTGAGCTGCCGCCGAGTTTGATGCAAAATTTTATAGCTTGTGTAGTGGATGTAAGAGCAGAAGAACTCCCACAATTCAATAAGTGGGTAAAGGACAATAAATCCAAAGTCAAATTCTTCAGTTTGATAAGATTTCAGATCAGCTAAGAACTGCAGCAGCTAGCTCAACATTGATGACTCTTGCAAATTAGCAAGGTTTGTCAGCAAAAGAAATCAGAATTTTCAGCAAGACAGTAAGATTTTTCAGAAGAAAAATCGATATTCTCACAAAATCTAAGCAGTAGTTTCAGTTTTTTCGATGGAAAATATGAATTTCAGCAAGGAAGAAAGCTTCTCAGAAGATAATTCAAGATTTTGGCAAAGCAGTAATATTTCTCAGCAAGAGAAACCAAATTTTTCACCAAGTCAGTCAGAGTTTAAGCAAGAAAATCGAAGTTTCCAGCGAAAATCAGAACTTTTTAGCAAGCAGGATAATCAAATGTTTCAAAAAACAACAAGATTTTCAAGAAGAAAAAGCTATATCCTTGCAAAATTTCAGCAGGAGTCAGCATTTCCAGCAGAAAAATGAGAATTTCAGCGAGGTTGTAGGCTTCTCAGAAGAAGAAATGAAATTTTTGCAAGGAAATAAAGTTCCTCGGCAAGAAGAATCTAATTTTTCAGCAAGTCAACCAGATTTTTTCAGTAGAAAAATTAAAAACTTCAGCAGGGAAATCGAAATTTTCAGCAAAAGTCAGAATATTTTCAGCGAGCGGAATATTCCGATGCTGTAGCAAGAAAGTAAGATTATTATCAAAGCAGTTCAGATTTTTCAGTAGAAAAATCAAAATCTCAGCAGATTTTTCAGTCGTGAATCATCAGTCTCCTTTAAGTCTTAGAACCGCTGTAGCACCTCTAAGACTTAGGGGGCTAGATGCAAGGGAGCAACTCTACACTGCTCCATCATTTGGGGGTTCTGTAATGTGGGATGACTCCCTCTGAGTCATATCACTAACAAATCCGGTTCTCACAACAAGCAATCCTGCCCCAAACACTGCTTCCGCTTTAAAAAAAAAAAAAAGAATTCAGCTGGTGTGCAAGTAGGGAGGGGATGCAGGTATGTGCAGGCAGGTGGCATCTGGCAGGAGGGGGTCGGGGCAGGTGTGCAGGCAGGGAGGGGGAGGGGGCTGGTATGCAGGAAGGGAGGGGGCTAGTGTACAGGCAGGGCTTGTCTCATTAGTTTATTTAGTGTAGCCTTTTGAGCTTTTTGGAAAATGATAGAATGTAGTAAAGGTACTGATTAAGGCTTGATGTGACATCATAGAGTATTGTAGTCCTACATATGGCAAGAATCAAAAGTTAAAATTTGAAAGAGTAGTTATTACATACAATTTCTTGTCTAGTGCGACCGAAGCTTTTAGTGCTTTTCTTCTTCCAATTATCATCCCTCTTTGGCAATTTCATTGTTTTACCAAATTTCATGTCTTCAAGGTCCTTTAGTTGTTCTAAAATCTCATTGGAAGATAATTTCCTAGGAGGACCTCTTTTTTCTACTTTCCCGTTAAAGGATTTATTATCTCTCCATTTATGATCGGTAGGTAGAAATTGACGATTGTCCATGTAACAACATTTCCCCTGATTTGGTAGCCGAGCAGAGCTAGTTTCTTTCATACAATGAGGACATGCTTTATAGCCTTTGGTAGACCACCCAGATAAGTTTGCATACGCAGGAAAATCATTTATGGTCCATAACAATGAAGCACGCATTTGAAAGTACTCATTCCTTGAAGCATCATAAGTCTGAGCTCCAGTTTCCCACAATTCTTTTAACTCCTCGATTAATGGTTGCAAATACACATCAATGTTATTTCCGGGTCCACTTTTCCCTGGAATTAACAAAGATAGTATTGTGTAAGGTTGTATCATACACATCCATGGAGGGAGATTGTACACAACAACCACTACTGGCCATATACTATAGTCACTTCTAAGCCCGCCAAATGGATTGAATCCATCACTTGCTAAACCCAACCTAACATTACGAGTCTCTGCAGAAAAAGTAGGATATTCTTTATCTAAATGCTTCTAAGCTTCACTATCTGCCGGGTGTCTAAGTACTCCGTCATCTTCTCGTTTATCAGAGTGCCACCTCATCTCATTTGCTGTTTTGGACGACATGAATAGCCTTTGCAACCTCGAAGTTAGTGGGAAATAGCGTAACACTTTAGGAGAAGCTTTATCACGCTTAGTATCGCATATGGAACACTTTTCAAGGTTAGCATTCTCTTTCCAAAATAGCATACAATCATTTTCACATGCTTCTATTTTTTCATAATCAAAACCAAGATTGGTAATCATCTTACGTGCTTCATAATAATTTGATGGCAAATCAGCACCTTTAGGCAAAGCATATTTGAACATATGAAGCATACTAGTAAAAGCTTTATTAGTCATGCCATCCATACATTTGATTTGGAATAACTTCAAAATGAATGACAATATAGAAAATTCATTACACTCGGGGTATAAAGTTTGTTGAGCATCTCTCATCAAATTTTCAAACATTTTTGCCTCTTTTGTATCCTTTTTATATCTAGGTTGATCAAACTCCTTAGGTTGTTGCTCAGCATCTAACATGTCATCTATGTCATCATTATTAGAAACTCCGGGACTAAACCTGTCATGGATCATTCTATATATATATATCATGAGCACTATCTCCCAAATAATTTCTACTTTTCTTTTGTGGGGGTTTGAATTCTCCATGATAGATCCAACGAACATAACCTTGCACGATTCCATTCACTATCAAGTCGGTGTAAATTTCGTCCCTTGTTTTATGTGGACCATTGTTGCATCGATTACAAGGGCAAGGTACCTTATTTTCCTCTTCTCCTAAATCACTATTTGTTTCTAAGTCACCAAAAGCAAATTGAAGAAAGGAATTAACTCCATTTATATAGAGATTGTCTGTCCTATTAGCACACCTCATCCACTCTAACCTCTTTTGAACATCCAGAGTATCCATGTGAAAATATAAGCTATAAATGCAAAGAGAGCTAATTATTAAAAAAATTGAAAAGTAATAATAATAATTATCAATAGTCATACATAATTCACAATGACTAGAATGGCACATTTCCAACAGAATTTGTCAGTTTATGTTGCAATAGATTTGTAGTTAGAGCTAGTATTATGTAGTAGTAGTAGTTTAAGATTAAGCTTTTGTTCTAATTTCAGTGGGTTTGGTTTGATAAATAGTCTTACTTATTATCTAAGTGGACCTGAAATTATTTAAATCATCATTTACTTTTGTTTTGTTGGACTATTGGTTTTGTTATTATGTGACTCTGTTTATCTTTCGTTTTCTATGGCTTCCCCCACTACATATAATTGTCTCGAGATACATTGTGCATTGCCTCTCAGTAACGCATAAGATATATGGTCCCCCACTAAATATGAATGACTTTAACTAGGGAAGACAAAATAATTGCAAATGTACTATTTCTTACATTCTACTATTTTATATACTTCATGCATTACTCCATAGTTTGTTTCTTAAACTTTCATATTGCAGTAAAGTTATAGTTAGACTTGGTATCTATTTTTTAAAGAGCTATAAGTTATCATTTTTCAATTCAATCATTTGATAGGAATAGAAAGAGAGTCTAGAAGTAAATGGTGATCTGTTAATTGTTTCTTCAGTCTTCAGTTGTTGGATTTTCGGGCAACGCTATATGAATTTTCCCTACTAGTGCTCCCTACACACTGCCCCTGGCCTTAACTATATACCCTCCCCCTCCCTTACACACACACTTGACAAAGAGCTTTCACAGAGTAAATTGAAGAGTTGAATTGCACATATTTGATAATCGATTAACATCGAATCATATTAACAGAAAAATTGTTATACTTGATTTTTAAGCCCAAAAAAACTGAATAGCAGCACATGCAAACAAATTATCAGAAGATTGAACAGATTATACAAAAAAAAAGGTATAATCAAAGAAATTACTTTTTACAAAAAAATCGAATTAATTAAATGAAAACAGGAAAGCAAGAGCAAAATCAGTTGAGCCACACCAAATTGAAGCTGAAATTGCAAAAATATAATCAAAATTCGAGAACAATTCTATTCAAGCATAGGAAGTAGAGTCCAACGTATTTCAATTGCTACCACATAAGTATTGGAAAAAATAGATTAAATCACCATTGATTCACATAGTAAAACACTACATATGAGATAAACGAACAGGTTATAGATCTAACCTTGAAATTTTGTCCAAGAATTGATCTTGCGAGCGTCAGTCGACTCTTCGAATTAGGGATAGTTCGAACGGTTTTGATTCTTCTGCAAAAGATTTTTGATTTCTTTTCTTTTCTTTTTTTCGGGAAAGATTCTAATTTTTGAGGGAATTTTGTGGTTTAGCTAATTTTTTTAATAAGTTGGCAGCTAATGAAAGGGAATTTAGCGCCTAATCAATTTTGGGATTTGTGTGATGTTTTTGTTTTGGCTAATTAGCTGCCTAATCAGCACATCAGTAGGGTTATTTTTTTTTTATTTTTATTTATTTTCTTTTTAAAAAAAAAATATCTAGCAATTCGTGGTTATACTCTTTTTTTTGTTTAAGGAAGGAAACATGATCTAATAATATAACATATAGAATAACAAACTAAGCTCAAGTGATACTTTATACAGGTATAACATATATATATATAGTTAGAATTAAAGGTACTACTGTTTCGGGGTTTTCTGATGTCCTGCGGGAGAGTTACAATTCCGAGACTGGAACCGGACGCCTGTATCTGCAAAATAACGGAGACTCCTGAGAGCTCCGCCTCCAACGGTCAAGTTAGTACCTGATTAAGGAGTAATTAATACGGAAATTAAAGTAATAAGACCTCTCTAGGTGAGAGTGTTTAATGTTGGTAATCTGCTTTGTTAGCGAGATTAGCCGGTTATTAGTGTTCCGTAATGTTTCTGTTCTTCTCTGTTCTTCAGGTGAGATTAATTGCTTGATCAATTGCTCTCTCAATTCCTTGATGTTTTTCTTCATTCCCTTTAATGAGGATTAATTAAGTATTTATAGTCTTGAGAAGCGTGCCACTCTCTAGGTTTAGGGTAAACCTAGGGCTGACCGGGCCTCTAGACAGGATTGGGCCTTGTTGGCCGGTTTTCCCATTTGGCATGGGTGGACACGTGGCGTGCCTCGATTGGTCCGTAGAGGACGTATCTGTGATTGACACGTGGCAGGCTCCTATTGGCCTACGTGAAGGACACGTGGCGGAACCTGGTTGGTCCACTTGTCAGACGGTGATTGGTGGATAAAAATCCCCTAATCATTTGCCCCTCACAGGTGGCACGTGACTGGTCACGTGTCGCCTGTGACAGGTGTCGCACGGTGACAGGCGACGGCCTGCTACAGGTGTCACCTTGCAAACGGCCGAGAGATTTTCCCGCCCAAATTTTGAATTTGGAAGCGACCCTTCGCCTTCTCACTTTGCCTATATAAGGAAGTGCTGACTTCGGTCATTTTCACATTTGAGAACTTTGCGAGAACATTCGGACCCCTGAACTTGCTCTGACATTTCGGACCTTTTCTGCCTACCGCCTGTTCTGACAAGCCGACTGCACCGGATTTCCAGAACTTCATCAACCGTCACTCGTTCAGGTAACTTAGTTCTCTTACTCTTAATTTTCTTTTTATTTTTTGAAATGGCACCACGGAAGCACACGACACGACCTAAGTTAGTGATCAGCCGGTCACCGGGGACGGCTGAATCTAGGACTAGGAGTGCCGCCTGCCCTTTTCTGGACCCATCTTTGCCCTTTATACAAAGTCCGACTGTATCTGTGTCTATGCAGAACGTGATGGCCAGAACAAAAAAGACTGCTATGATCTCAAACTCAGACGGCTCCTCCCAAAGGGTGCTCATTAGTGAAACATCTGACCAGGCGCCAGATGTAGAATTGAAACGAGGCGGCTGCCAAGCCGACAGTTCTGAGAGAGGGGCCAAGGTGGTCCCTTCCCATTTTACCGTTGATATGTCTAATTTTCCTCCTGCTCCTTCTAAGGGAGAGGAGGTGGGCCCCTCTGGGAGAGGGGAGGAGTCGTCCTCTTCGGACTCGTCAGAGGACGAGTCCGAGTCCAGCTCTTCTGGCCACAGTTCTCCAGGCTCAGAAGAAAGAAACAGCCGCCTACAAGAGGCGAGACTTTCTCATGTAGTTGAGAAGGGGGACAATTGGGCGGAGCCGTCCGCCTCTTACAGAGAGGAAAACGCCCCCTACTACTGCATGGTACCCCGGGGCCGGATCGCAACCATGCAAGACAAAGTGGAGAGCTTTATTGCTAACCACAGAATGGGCCCGGAATTTTTACTGTTCGTGCCGGATCCAGAAGACACTGTCGTCTGGCCGGCTGGTACCAGCTATGATGACGGCTGCTTTGGCTGCTATGTGGCGGCCATCAAAGCTGGACTGCGCTTCCCATTACATCCGGCTGTTCAGCGGATTTTAGATGGGTATGATTTGGGGTTATGGCAGTTAGCCCCCAACTCTTGGGTAAACGTACTCGGCTATGTGGCCGGCTGCGAAATGTACGGGGTGGAGCCAAGCTTTGAGGCTTTCGCCCACATGAACTATCTCAGCCGGACCCCTAAGTCGAGAGGTACCGGCTGGTATCAATTAACAAGCCATAGGGGTTACCTCATGACGAGAGGTAAGGCGAACAAATGGAAGGATTGGCGGAACACCTTCCTTATCATTGAGGGTTCGGACACGGAGCTGAACCAACGTTTTAACAAGTGGAATAGGGATCCGCCTCTTCTCGCAGGCGGCCGCAGCATGCCGCCTGTTCCCCCAAAGGCTAAAAGAGAGATCCTAGACAAAGGACTCTTCAAAGTAGAGACTAGGGTGAACTCTACTTCAGGGGTACGAGAGCAAGTACCCCTAAACTGCGTCCCGAGCTTCAAGTGGCTCTATGACGAGTACTTTTTGGCCGCCTGTGGCCTCAGCAGTCGGTGCTCTAGAGGTAGCCGGCCTGTCAAATACTCTGTTTTTTCACGCTTTGTTTACTTGGGATTTTACTAACTTTGCTGTTTATTTTTTGCAGCTGACGCCATGAGTAAAATAACAGCATCCAAGACTGCGGCGGCCATGTTGCGGGCCTCTCTCATGCAACAGTCTTGTACCGACTCCCCCAACAAGGGGGCACCCTTGGTAGGCTTCGAAAACTCTTCTTCTTTTAGGAGTTGTCTTATGCATATACTAACTCTTTTTATTTTCAGTCGGGCACTCCAAGAGCTTCTTCCTCGCAACAGCCGGACCCCAAGGCCCGGAGGACGACTGTTGCAAGCTCTCCTGGGTCTTCCAGGAAAACAGTGGCGGCTGAGAAGCAGCCGGCCACTTCTTCTAAAACCCCGGCGGGGCCGCCTAGAAGTATGGACAATTACTTGTAAAAACTCACTTGCTTCCTTCCTGACTAGGTCTAACTTGCTTTTTTACGCTTGATGCAGCCGGCCCTCAGGGGCTTGACTTGGTTGAGGTAGCCAAGTCCATGATCAAAGTAGTTCCTCCATCTGAAAGGGAGGCGGTCAGGGGTGCCGGCACCCTTGACCTTGATGGGATTGCAGGGGTCCTTGCTGAGGTATACTTTTTTGAGTATTTGAATTCCAGGACGCCTGTTATCTTTTTTGTTTGGAAACTGACGCTTGTTTTCTTTTTGTACTTAGGCCCTGCTCCGAGTTAACAGCCTTCGCAAGCCGATTGATCGGAAAAACAAAGAGGTAAAGACCGCAAAAGCTATGGCCGCCTCCAACTGTGATAAGGCAATGTTTCAAATTGCCCAAAATGAAGTACTGACCATTGATATTCTTTATTATCAGGCGCAGGCTACCGCCGCTGTTCGGGCTCAGTTAGAGGCGGCCCAGAAGAAGAATGACGAGCTGGAGGCGACCGTCACAAATCTTAAGGCCGAGCTGAAACCTCCTCGCCAAAAAATGCACTCTTACGAAGCCATGGAGAAATCTTTGGCCAACGTAAAAGAACGCCTGGTGAGCCAAGAGAAGAGTCTTACCCAAGAGCTCTCGGAAAAGGCCGAGCAAGAGAAGAAAGAGCTCGTCCGGGAGATGGTGGAAGACTCCGCTCAAATCCAGCGCATGACCTGGGGCCGCCTGTTCCCCAATGCCGACTTTGCCTCATGGGAAAGAACGTACCGCCAGTGTTCGGAAACATATAATCAAGAGATCCTGGCGGCTGCTGAAGAAGAGGCGTTGGGAGATACGTTGGAGGAGGAGGAAGAGCCGGTTGTGGCGCTTGTGCCACTTGGGGGTAAGGCATCAAAAGAGGGTGCAGCTGAAGCCGAGTCCAGCAAGAAGAGTGCTGACCAGGCGGCAGCTACTAATACTGAACTGCCCCCTTCTTAAGCTTAAAGTATTTTTTTTTTTCCACGGCCTGCGTGCCGTTTGCTTTGTATTTACCCGGCCAGGGGGCCGGGGCTTTGAATATTTTGCTGGTCTTTAATGACCGGCTTATTTTTAATCAAATTTTTGTTTTGATTCAAATTTGTCTAAGTATTCCATATCTAATATCCCATTGTTCACTAGACCGACTGTTGTACATGGCCGAACGTTGCAGACAGGTACAAATAGTAAGTACGCCGCCTATGCCCCTGGACGACTGGTTGTCTGTTTCCAGGATAGACGATCAGTCGGCCGTTTATTCAATCGGTATTCGAACTATTTATTCAATCGGTCTGACCAAGTAAATAGTATTACCTAGTCGCCAAGGAATTAAGTAGGATAACAAGCGGTGGGTACCGGTTGTTTCCCTTTATTGCCAATGTTGGCTTTTAACTCGTAATTTGTTAACCTAGCAAGAGTAGTGGTTGAGAGTCCCTGTTTGTTAAAAACAGGCGGACGACTCATACCTTTTAGGCTCCATACTAAGTTTGAGTGACTATTAAGTTAACATAGGAGTTACTTAGTCTTCGTCACACTCTAGATTGAATAGTAGAGGTACCAGGCGGCGGAGGCCGGCTGATCCTCTTGATTTGCCAATGTTTGTTGTCTATTAACTCAATAGGTTACCTAGTAGGAATAGGGGTTTGAGTGCCCCTGTTTGTTTAAAACAGGCGGACGACTCAAACCTTTTAGGCTCCATACTAAGTTTGAGTGACTATTAAGTTAACATAGGAGTTACTTAGTCTTCGTCACACTCTAGATTGAATAGTAGAGGTACCAGGCGGCGGAGGCCGGCTGATCCTCTTGATTTGCCAATGTTTGTTGGCTATTAACTCAATAGGTTACCTAGTAGGAATAGGGGTTTGAGTGCCCTTGTTTGTTTAAAACAGGCGGACGACTCAAACCTTTTAGGTTCCATACCAAATTTGAAGGAGTGACTATGAGTTAACGTTGGAGTTACTCAGTCGCCGTCACTTTTGTTTGAGAAGTAGAGGTACCAGACGGCGTAGGCCGGCTAGACCCCTTGATTCGCCAATGTTTGTTGGCTATTAACTCAATAGGTACCCCCTGCATTTATCCGAAGTAATACAGGCGGTCATCTGACTCAGATGTCAACTGCTACCACTGGTTTGGTTAGTGATAGAGTTATCCTTGTCTCAAAAACGGCTACGTGGTTGCCCTTGGGGACAGTCGTATAGGTGCCGTGTAATTAGTTTATAGAA